TCTAACATAGATAATATTTATAAGTGATTACTGTGCTTACAATAAAGTTTAGTCAGAGCCGTTTAATTTGATATAAGATTTATTAGGTCTATCTCTGTTAGTTTACGAAATAAAAGAGGGTGGCCACTTATCCGGGGACACCCTGTATGAAAACGAGTTGCAGAGTAAGAGTGGGGGAGGAGAAAAGTGGGAGATTTTGGACAAAGAAGGGAGTTAGACAGGGGTACCCTCTGAGTCCACTGCTGTTTAACTTGGTTAGTGGACATAGAAGAAGTGATGAGGAAGGGACAAGACGGAGGGATATGGGCAGGAGGAAGAAAGATATGGATGCTGGCATATGCAAATGATTTGGTAGTATTGGTGAGGGAAGAGAAGAAGATGGAAATGATGATGAAAAGACTGGAAAGGTATACAAACAGGAAGAAATTGGAGGTGAATGTAGGAAAGAGTAAGATAATGAGATTCAGTAAGGAAGAAGGAAGAAGCAGAAGGGTGAAGTGGAACTGGAAGGGAGAAACGGTGGAGGAGGTGAAGAAATTCAAATATTTAGGTTACACACTACAAAGGAACGAACAGCAGGATGAACATATAAAAGAAGTGTTGAAAAGAGCGAGGGTAGCTGTGAAAGAAGTGTGGGGAATAGGAAAAAGAAGATTTGGAGGCAACTGGGAAAGAAGGAGGAAGTTATTTGAGGCACTAGTGGAAAGCATAGTATTATATGGAGCGGAAATTTGGGGGTGGAAGGAGAGAGAAAGGGTGGAAAAGCTGCAGGAAAAATACATTAGATGAACACTAGGACTGGAGAACACCGGGATATTTGCTAAGAGAAGAGGTAAAATGGGAGAAGATGAAAACGAAGGCAGGAAAGAGAGCGATGAAGTTTGAAGAGAGAGTGAGGCAAGGAAAGGGAGGAGAGCTAGTGAGAGGATGTCTGGAAGAGATAAGAAGAGGAAGAGAAGGGGTTAAGGTCAAGATGGAAGAAAGAAAGAAGAAAATTTTACGAGGAAAGAGGATATGCAGCGGAGGTAGTGGAGGAGAGGAGAGAGAGAGGGATTTGCATGAAGGAGGAGTTGACGGAAAGGGATAGAGCGATACAGAAACAAAAGAGGGAAATGAAGATTAGAGAGTCAAATTACAACAGAGTATACAATCAAATTAAAGCGGAAGGCTTACCAAGATACCTGAAAGAAGGGGGAAAGGAGGGGAGAATGATTAGAATAGCGAGATTTAGAGTAGGTAATGAGATGAGAGGGGGGAGGTACTAGGAAGAGGAGGAGAATAGAATATATAGAGTGTGCGGGGTAGAAGTAGAAACTTGGGAGCATGTGCTGGAAAGATGTGTAGAATGGAATGAAGAGGTGGAGAAGAGGGGGGTGTCGAGGATACTAGAAGAAAATGGAGAGGGAGACGACTGGATAGGCAGCTGCTGAGGCTAAGAAGAGGGACGAGTACAGAAGGAACAGAAGAGAGGGATGGGAGCAGACGAGAGGAGGAAATGGGAAGTAGCAAGAATAATAATGAAAAGTAAAGGAGTTGATTAAAAACAAAGAAGGGAGAAAAGAAAAGGAAGGCAATACATATATGTGAAATGTTAACAATTGTTACGAATGAATGTTGTATTTAAGGAAGTCTTGTAATCTCAAAAGAGAAACAATAAAGATTATATATATACTATATTTATATAAATGTGCTTGTAACATATTATACCGCGTCGGGATTACTTTTACGTTAAATCTAGTCCCTTAGACTGTACAGAAAACGCAAAATTTTTTGCGCATATTTGCGAATTCAATATAAATTATTAATACACAAGACTGAATATGTGTGTGTGTAACATAGTGACTATTCAGAGTCACTGCTGTTTATATCATTTTCTAATGTATGTATGTTATATGGTTTAGATAATAAGTTTAGCACTTCAGAACTGATTTTCCCGCTTTTTGTTTTTAGAGAATCACATAAACTCGTTATTAATGGGTCAGAAGTGACAAGTAGTCTGTTCAATCATCACAAATCTCTATTTGTGTCGGTCTTTGATGTTTTTCTTGTAAAAAATTCTCTGTATTGTTTACGGTGTTTATTACGTGCTTCTTGCGCTTCTTCGGAAAAATTCCCAATTGGAAGAATACAAGTTTCAATAATATCTTTTCCATGGTCCAGAATTTTATAAACGGTAACAGGTATTGGGTACCAATTATAATATTTTACGTTCAATTTTTGCGTATAATTTACATATTCGCTAAATTTGTCTAGATTAATCTGAAATCTAGAATTTATACATTCTAATATGAGATGAAAGCGTTTGATTAGCTCTACATTAATTCCTGTTATTGCAGCTGATTTTTCTGCATTTCTGAAAAATTTACGTGCCGTATTACTACCATTAGTATTACCTGTTTGCTGTTTCAGTATATCTATTAAAAGACTCAACTCACTCTTGAATTGATCTTGTATCATCTTCTTTCTTTCAGCAACCTTGTTTTTATTTATTATGCCGCGAGCTTGTGCTAATTTAATATTCAATTTATAAGAAATATGCAATACACATTCCATAAAACGTATCCACGAATGAAGAAGCAACAGTCTAAATAAAAGAAAATTTTTATCTACTGTTTTTTTTTTAAATGATATCCAAATTGTTTATCTCACTTGGTTCCACATAAGTTACATGTTTGTGTGGACATACATGATGACAGCATTGCATACTTTGCCGTCTATCATACAAAATATTAATACAGACTTTACTTGCAATTCTATATCCTTTGTGCATATTTTTGTTGGCAAAAGATTTTCTATTTGGCTTTTTATTTCTGTAACTTCCACATTTATCAGATCTACTGATTCTTTGGCAAAAATGAATTTGATGGGACGACAATACCTTGTTGAAGACGGTGACGGATTTTGCCAAATAATTTTTTTATTATCCCTAAAAACAGTGTATATTTGTAGAGGTA